AGCTTTTTGCACGAGATAATCATCCCTCCCACCCCGGAGGTCCTCCCCTAACTTTTAGAAGGGGAGGAATCCATCTCTGCGACCTCTATGCACTCTGCCGCCGGTGTCAGGGACGCAGAGCACAAAAGGGCGCTGGCACCCCCCAACTACATTTTCACCCAAAGCTTGATTCCTCCGGGGTCGTTTACTTGGTACCAGATTCGTCTGAGAAATGGGCTACCTAAGCACTAAAAACATCTCTACAGTTCTAAATAAAAGTCGAATGGTAGGGCACATTCAACAACATTGATCAGATGAATACATTCCGGGGTATCATTGTCGTCGACAGTAGAAAAACTGCAGCTATTCACATCATCTGGAACCAGTTCGAACTGGGCCTTTTAATACTTTCCTACTTTCTATTCCTACTCGAATTTTGCAGTATTTTGCATTCGTTTAATCGCTCTATGATCATTTTGCCTTTCAATCACTCATAAGAACCATAGAAATAGGTTCAAATGATCACATAACCCTTTTACACCATACGATTCACTAGCTACCAAAGATACGGAGGAGTCATGAGTTTTTTACTTCTAAAAACTACAGTATTCCCTTCTACACCTGAAAAATTCTTTTACGTTTTCCTCGATACCATCAAAAGAGGGATACTCACACTAACGGAATATGCTTCTTGGAATGATGTCTGTCAGTGGTGACCGACGATGGTACAACAGAAGTCATTGCTTGTATCGTTCCATGAAAGACCACAAAAGAAGTTCCTTGTAACATTTGAAAGGGGCTCCTGCTTGACGTTGAAGAGACGGCTAGGACTATGACGGAGGTGAGTAATTAGTGAAAAAAAATAGTAATTAAAGCAGAAAATAGTGTAGTAGTAGTAAGATAGTAAAAGAATAAAAATAATAGCTTTTAGGTAGAAAGGTAAAAAATTTCGGAATTCCTTTGGTTTAATAGCTGAAGTGAGATAAGCCTGATGCTCCAGCGATCAAGTTATAGTGAAGCATTGAGACCGATTTGATTCTACAAAGCCCCTATACTGGCTTCTTCTATACAGGTAGTTGATTACATTCTGAACCCCGGTCTTACTTTGATGTAAGTGATATGATGCAAGCATTGGCGAAATGTCCCGAAAAATTTTTTCACAGCGCCTTTTTATAATGTTTTTTTTCTTTGCCCTTCGAGAAGCAGCTCATTTGCTTTTGGTCTCATCGCTTATCAATTTTTCCTCTAATCGGTCAAAGACAAAACGAAATGCTGGGTCATCGTTTGATGGAATAATTTATCACCAAGGCGTCATTCTGACGGGAGACATCAGAAGCAGAGAACAGTTGCTCTTTTTTGACCGTCGAGAGCTTTATTCAAGGATCCAAAAAAAGGCTTCATTACATTTGGAATGAATTCTCTTTGTAATACAGGTGGATCGTTGGTTCCTATCATTCTTTTACTGACCTCTCGTTGGTAAGCGATGATTGATTAGAGTTCCTTTACTTTTTCGGAACATCACAAATCACCATTTGGCCAAAATCAATCAGAACAGGTGTGCCGGAGGTTAAACTATGGAAATGTACTCCTAACAATTCTGGAGTATGCTTATTCTCCGAACTAAATCAATCAATGCTTCCATCTATATTACAGCAGGTTTGGTGCTCCTGCTGAGCCTTACATGGACTAGCTAGTTCTCTGGCTGCCCGACGTATCTTTCTACCCTTAGCCACGGCCTTGTGGAATCATTCAAGCTAATCGGAAGGGTTCAGGGTCCTGCTCCCTAGGAGCTTTCGTCCGCGGTAAAGTATCTACCCCAGAATAAACTGTCCAAGTGCTCCAAGGACAATTTCTTCAGCTTCCTTCCTGTTATTTTAGGTTTCCCACCCGGGCAAAAGGTAGACCTGCAATTTGAATCCACTGAAGGCGATTTGGCGAGCAGGACATGGTTTGCGTCTGAATAATGTCTAAAAGTGAAGTTTTTATGTCAATATGAATGTTAATAGGACGGAGGTGGGGTAGTGGCAAGTGGCGCACTATATCACACGCACGGTCAGGGGTTCGAATCCCGGATCGATGCCCGCCTACCAACCAAGCCTTCCATCCCTCCGGGGTCGGTGAATTGGTACCAGACTCGTCTGGGAGGATAAAAGCACTGACTTGTACATCGGCTGGCCCCTGCAAGTCATTGTATAGGCCACATACGCACTCATTACGCCACTACGATTCTGAATGGAAGTCGAGTGCGGGAGCGCATCCCTCAGACGGGATTGATTAGCGCCAAAAACTTTATCCTTTTTATTATGAATGTTAATGTGAAAAGATCTACGGAAAGGACACGCACCCTCTTCTGGGATACTTTCTTTCCCCTCTTCAGGATGCTCTCCCGTAAAAAGAGCGGCCCGTACACGCTCTCCGTTATCAGCAGGAGCCCATCGTAAATCAGCGATTCACCTTTGGCAGTTCATCGACAAAGCCGATTGTCGTGTCGGGAGATTGACAGGTGCTATCAATCCGAGGGAGAATTTCGTTTTTTCGCCAAAACATGACACTCATACTAGCAGTCTTTTGAATTCTTTCGGATGCTTTTACGACGTTTCACATGAATATAGTGTGCACGGGTGGCAGAGAACGTTTCACGTGCTAGGTCTCTCTCTTTTCCTCACCTCAAAAGAGCTACCATGAAATTGTATTGAAAATGAACTGTCATCCATATTTAGTGCTCATCTAGGATGCTCAGAAATCAGCCTCTTTTCATAGTTGATCGGTTCTCAACTGTCGAAGGCATTAGCAATTGGGATCATCGAACTCTCGGGAATCGCATACTTTTTTTCTTGAGTATTGGTCATCAATTTGCATAATCCGATTAGATGACAGTATGGGCAAATATGGAAACTTTCTTCAGGTTCATCACACCTTTTCAATAGCATTCCTCGTCATATGTGCTATGCGCCATTTAGCTGGAATTGCTCATCGCTGTCGTATCGGTGATATTGAGTGAACTCAGGAAGAGTCATAAAATCTGTTGATCCCTAGGCAATTCATCCCATTCTGTTGATCCCGAAACGACCTAGGGCAATTCCCTAGGTCGTTTCGGGATGCGACATTTGGTGGGGCACCCGCTTCAGAATTGATGGACAGGCCTATTCAGTATTT